GCCAGAGGGGGGGCCCCAGGAAGGTCTGCAGGGTAGGCACTAGCTTATGGAGGGTGGCCTTACTTGTGAGCCCCACTGGAGCACTGGGGTAACCAAGTCATCAAAACAACAGGAACAGAGGGAGAAGAGGAGGAGAGAGGCCTGATTAAGTGGGGAATTCATTTGGAATACAGGAGGGGAGGGAACCAGGTGGTTCCAGGACTAAGGAGCACGCTGTCACTACTGCACTGCGGTTTCCTGCCCAGCTTCCCCTACTCGGTCTCACATTCCCTTGGGAGCGGCTGCTGTTTCCCAGAGATGGGAATTCTGCCCAGTGGTTGTGCTCACTCCCTTGGTTTCTTAGTGACTGGTGGGGGGGGGGTCGCCAGAGCAGTAGGTGGAAGAATGGAGAAAAAAGCATCCATGTGACTGACATCTTCCAGGGACCACCAAGAAGACCCTCTATCCTCAGGCTGTGATGCCTTGATTGCCTGAAGTGCTTGGCTACTAAGCAAAGAAAAAAACATTGACTTGCTCTCCCACTCTCCACCTTGGCTTTCCAAACCTCATCCCTCTCCCCACTCTCAGCTGAGAACCTTGACTCATTTTTACAGAAAATGGGAGCCATTTGCCGTTAGCTCCCGATCCTCCCCTCTTGCTGACCTATCACTCAGACGCCTTCTCCCACTCTCTCCTTAACCCCCATCACACGGTGACTTACTGCTTACCAAGGACAACCCTCTACGTGCTCAAGCCATCCTGACACCTCCAACAGATGCCCCCTGTCATCCCCACCTTAGAACTGTGTTCTCTGCTGGGTATGAGCAGTCGGTGGCTCCCTGGTCCTGCAGAACCCTCCGTTTGTAGCTAATCCTCCCCTCCTGCAGGTCTACACTAAGTGCTCCCACTCTCTCCCTCTCTTACAATCCTGCTTCTGACTTTATTATTCCACCAAAACTGCTCTCCCCAAAGTGATCAGTGATCCAGTGGCCCTTTCACAATCCTCATCTTCCTTGCCCTCTGCAGCCTTGGACACTTGGTCACTCTAATTCCCTGATCCTCCCTTCTCTCCAGGTTTTCAGGACACCTCCCTGTCTCTCTGTCTCTCTTTCCTGTTTCTGTCTTTCTCTGTGTCTCTCTCCTCTCTGACGGCTCCTCCTCTGTCTCTTGGCTGGATCTTCCTCCAGATCCCGCCCTCTAACCACAGGGGTCTCTCGTGGCTCTTCTCCCTATGTACTGCTTCACTGGGGGATCTCCTCAGCTCCCGTGGATTTAATGACCGTCTCTATGCTGAAATCTAGCTCTCCTGCCCCAGTCTCAGTCTCCAGCTGCCCTTCGGACGTCTCTAAGTGGAGTCCAGGAGACATCATAAACTCGTCTCTCCCCTAAACCCCGGCCCTCCCCTTCCAGCCTGGCTCAGGCTCTCCCACCTTCTCTCCAACGCCTGACGCCTGGGAGTCCGAGCTGAAAGCCCGCCTTCTGCAGGAAGCTGCCCCCAGCCCCTGCCCTCTCAGCACAAGGGCCGGTCCTCAGCCTCTGCAGCCCCGGCGCTCAGCGCGGCGCTTGGCACACAGTAGGCCCCTAACTTGACTGACACCTGTTTTATGCGGGGTATGGTGCAAAGCGATTCACAAATACGTCATTTGCTCTTCACACAACCCTGGGAGGTCGGTGCTATGATCTTCACCCCATTTTACAGTCGAAGAAAGCGAGGCAGACAGCGGTTAAGCGTCTTCCCCAGGGTCACATCTGGGTCTGAGGTTCAGGGGCTCCCCTGGTCTCTAGGACCAAACAGCAGCCCTTGGCCTGGCACAGCCGTGACTCCCTCGCTCAAGGGGCAGCAGCCGTGGCTCCCGCTTCCCGCCAGGCCCCGCCGGGGGTTCCCCATTCCTTCCCCCAATCCGGGCCCTCCAGGCTCGGCCCCGCAGGACTAGAGTGCAAGCTCCCGGAGGGCAGGGAGGCCCCATCCAGCGCCGGGCTCGATGTGGACAAGGGCCCCGGGTCCGGGGGTGAAGCCCAGGCCCAGCGAGGGGCGCGGGCGCCGAGGCCGAAGGTTCCGACTGGACTTTGGCCGGAGGTCCCGCCCCATGAACCCGCGTCCGCGCCAGTATTTCGCCCTCCCCCTCGGCCCGGTCCCTCGGAGGCCGGAAGTCCCGCCCCATGAACCCGCGTCCGCGCTAGTATTTCCCCCTTCCGGCCCGGCGCCTCGGAGGCCGGAAGTCCCGCCCCGGAAGCGGCGGGCGCCATGGCAGGACTGGCGGGGTTGGCGCGCCTGGTGGGCAGCTTCGGGCCGCCGGGCGCCGCCTGGCCCCGGGCCGCGCTGCACAAGGCAGCCCCGGAGCGGGACGTGCTGCTCTTCGAGCACGAGCGCGGCCGCTTCTTCGCCTTCCTGGGCTTCTTCTGCGCCAGCCAGGGCGTCTTCTGGACGTCGCTGGCCGCGGCAGCCTTGGCCGGGCCCGGGGGCGGCGCTCAGAGCCCCGAGGCCGAGGGCGGCGTTCAAGGCCCCGGGCGCCGGCCCAGCCCCGGCTCGGCGCTCTGGCGTTACGGACTGGCGGCCGGCTGCGCCTCTGTGGGTGAGAGCCGGAGTCTGGGGCGGGTTGCACATCTGGGGAAACTGAGGCCCGAGCCAGGAGTTGAGCCCAGGCCCGGCGCCACCTGACCCCCGCGTCCATGTCGGGGAGCTGGGAAAGGGCAAGGACGATCGGGGTCAGCAGCCTGACAGGCAGGGGCCACAGCCTGAGCAGAGGCGCCGAGGTGGGCATGTCACCCGGGGCTGTTTCCCGTTTCAGCCCCCAGGGCCCCGCTGCTGGTCTGTAGGGAGGAACTCGGTAAGTGGGAGACCCTCGGGAAGCCCCGGAGGAGGGGTCCCCACATCCCACAGTTTAACCTTCATCACAGGCCAGCCTCCCTTCCTGGAGGAGCCCACCGTGCCGCCGTCACCGCTCACCACACTAGGGACCACCCACCTTGTGTCTCCCTCTCCCGGGTGTGGCCCCCCCCCAGTGTCGTCCTTGGCCATCTTCCCCTGGACATTCCAGCCGCTGCCCCAACTGGCTGCCCAGGGACTGACCAAGTCCACCTCCCACCCACCCCCATCAAACAGAAGCCTCCAGGCTCCTTCCTTTTCCGCCTCGGGGTCCCCCACCCTCAGGCTCTTTGCCGGCCCATGGGCATCCCCCCTCCCCAAGTTTTGCTCCTTGGGTGCTCTGGTGTGCCGTGGTTTAGCCTAGTGCTGGACACAGTAAGCACTTACTAAATGCTTCGTGACTGATGGGTGGGGAAAGCATGATAATTCTAGATTCTTGATACCTGTAGGGAACCCTAGAAGTCACCTAGTCCATTTCCTTAATTTTGTTAGATGAGGAAGCCAGGGCCCAGAGATGAAGGGACCCCTCCATGACCTCAGGGCCTGGCTCACCTGTGACCTCTGACCCTCCCTCCCTGTCCTTCCCCAGGCTTGCTGGTGCTGGCCGCCGGGCTGCTCTTCTCCCAGCGCTCCGTACGCTCTGTGCTGCTCAGGAAAGGGGGGCAGCAGGTGACCCTGACGACTCACGCACCCTTTGGCCTGGGTGCCCAGTTCACCGTGCCCCTGCGTCAGGTGTCCTGTCTGGCTCATCGAGGGGAGGTGCCAGCCGTGCTTCCTCTCAAGGTCAAAGGCCGCCGCTTCTATTTTCTTTTGGATAAAGCTGGACGTTTCCCCAACGTGAGGCTGTTTGACCTCACCGTGGGTGCCTACCGGAGCTTGTGAACTGCCGGCGCAGAGACCCAGTAACAAATAAAGAGACAGGAAAGCCCAACGTAGATATTTTTGTGTTTTCATTCATCAGGGAAGGTTCACTTTTAAGGCGAAAGGCCGCAACGTTCAGCTACAAAAACAGCAGCAGCAGGGAAGGGGATGGGAGCCAGCTGCTGGCATTCATCCCCCTTGGAGGGAGTACTGGGGGAGCCCCCTGCAGCTGCAGAGTGGGGGCCACCAGGCACAGGCACTTGGGCATACAGTCTTTGGTCAGGAAACTGTGAATTCCAGCCCGTCTTCAGGGACGGGATGGGCGGGCCCCAAAGAGGGCATCTGTTTCCGAGCTCCACTCGGGGTCCCCTCGTTCCAGGGGCCGGTATGAGGGGGCTTCCCACTTCCACTGTAGCAACTGCAAGGCCATAAGTAGGCACCACAACACCAGGCTCACCCAGGAGGAAGCCTGTAGGAGAGGGCAGAGAGAAGAGTGGACTGCCTGGGGTCTGGCACCCTCCCTCCAGCTCTCCCCCACTGCTCCCAGGCTCTCCTTACTTCTGCATTGTACAGGGTGGAGTAGAAGTGTAGGCCGGGTCCGGGAGGCAGCCAGGGAAGTTTCTGGGCATCTGAGCAGCTGCACAGGCAAGAGAGGCTCGATGAGCAAGGTTGGGGGCTCCCCAGCTGGGCACTGGGGCAGATCTTACCCCAGGGTGAGGACCCTTCCCCTACCCATGTAGACGGGGACCTGAGGTGGCTTCACTTGCTCAGAATCACAGAGCTGCTGTGTGTCAGTGACTGGGGGTGCAGCTCTCTGGGCACCTGCAGCCCATGGCCTGCCCCCAAGGCACCCCACCCAGGCCTCTCCCCCACGGAGGTGCTCCTTCCATCCTCCCCAGTGTGTCACAGAACATCGCGATGGCCAGATGGGCAGGCACCAGCCCCGTGGCCCTCCTTCCCCACAGATGCCCGTTACCAGTTCACAATCTTAAAGCGCATGATGGAGGCGCAGAGAGACTTGGTGCCAAATCGTAGGATACAGGATGCCACCAGAACCAGGAAGATGGCTACAGCCGACAAGCCCACAGAGATGCGCAGGCCAAGAGGACTTCTGCAGAGGAAGAGGCACCAGGGAGGTTGGCGACACCCCCCAACACCCTCCCCACACACACAACCCCCCCCTTCGATGGTCACCTGTGAGAATCTTCTAGGCAGCTGCTGTATGTCCAGTAAAGCAACAGCAAGAGGCAGTAGAGGGCCAGGAGTCCCGAGACCCCCGCCACAAAGTAGCAGAGGGATGGGGCGGAGGAGCTGGCCAGGGACAGGGCGGAGCCATTCCAGAGGGTGGTGCCATAGACAGGGCACTGGCCATTGAAGGAGCCCTAGGAAGAGAGGCAGACTGAGGGGCTGGCCAAAGTACAAAGCCTTCCCAAAGGGACGGGCACTCGGGTGCCCAAGTGGCTATTTCCTTAGGTGGTCCTGGTCCAAGCATGTGCCCTAGGGCAAGTCAAATTCCACACCTATGCTCTGGCAAAAGATGGTCTATAGTGTCTCTCCCAACATTCAACGGATCGACGTGGACAGGGAGCATGTTAAGAAGACGCGCTTAGAAATGAGGTGAAGGACAATGTTATCATCCTACACTTGACTGCATGAGGGAAAAGAGCCGGCCTCAGATTCCCCCTCATGCTGCCTCCTGGGTGAGGGACCCTGGGCTAGTCCCTGGCCTCATCCCGCTGCGGGACTCCGAGACTGGAGAAGGGCCGGACAGAGGCCACCGTGCAGTGACCAAGGAAGAGTTCTCAGGAGGCATTCCCTGTGTCAGTGACATCAGAGGGCCGGGCCACAACGTGAGTATGAGATAGTCCCAGAAGGCTGTACTACATGGAAGCATCCAGGAAGGCAACCAGGAAGGAGGGAAAGAAGCATTTGCAAGCAGATCCTTCTAAATGAGGGCTGTTAGGGCCCGCCTCCCTGCTGCTGGAGGAGGTTTCTGACAGGAACGGGCACTGCAGGTAGCCCAGCTCGAGATGAGGGAAGCAGCAAGCCTGGGGACCATCCGAGGAATGAATGGCTGCGTGGACGAGCTGGGCCCTGGCGGCAGCTGCCCCTGCTCCTGGTGGGACAGGCAAGCACTCAGCAAGCCGCAGGGGGACAGAAATTCAATGAAAAATCTGCCCTGAAGACGCTTCCACGCTACCAGACAGACGGCCATAGCAGGGTGCCTTCTCCTCTATGGTTATCATCTTCTGGCCTCAGTCTGGGCCTGTAGCATCCTACATATCATTGTGCTGCTAGGAATGATCGGCCTGAAGAAGTCAGAGAACAACTCCCCACCTTTCCTGGCAAGGCCGCCCCTCCTCCTCCTCCCCTAGGCCCTTCCAGGGCCCCACCAGTCCCCAGGCTGGAAACCAAGAGCTCATCTTGGAGCCCTCCCTCCCCTTGCCCCCCACCCACTCGAGCCCTGTCCTTTCTACTTCTGTAACCTCTTTCCCACCTGTGCCCCACCCTCTCCTCTGACGCTGCCACCCCTGCCTGGCTCATCACCTCGCACCCAGACTGATGAAAGAACCTTTGTCCAGTCTCCCTCCCCCCAGTTTTCCCCACTCTGGGCCATCCTCCACTCTGCTCTCAAAGCAATTTTCCTGTCTTGCTCTGGCCACATCAGTAAACTCCAGTGGCTTCCCATGGCCTCCAGCATCAAATACAAAATGCTGCGGGGCATTCCAAGCCTTCCTAGCCCGTCCCTGTCTGGTCCCTGTCTGGTCTTCTCCGCCTCACTCAGCCCTTCCTTGGTGATCCACCTCCTGGCCACCCCCTGATGAATTTCTCTCCCTGCTCTTCTTTGCCTCCTGGTTTCCCTGGCTTCTTCCAAGTCTCAGCCAACATCCCACCTCCTGCACAAGCCTGTCCTCCTAAGCCTTCCTGCCCCACCCCCAGACAATCTCCCGGTTCATTCTGTCTGCTGTAAGTTCCCCCTTGTGAGCTTCTCCAGGGCAGGGACTGGCTTTGTCTTTTTTTTTTTTGTATCCACTATGCCTGACAAACAGTAGGTGTTTAATAAATGCTTGAGGCCTGACGTCCCTGTCCTGATGCTGAGAGAAGGAAAGGCCAACAGACCCAGACACACAATGGCTAAGACAATGGTACAAAATGCACAAGACCTTTTACTTGATGGACCAACTGTTCTGAGTGGTTTAAAGTGACCTCATTTCCAAGTAGAGCCCTTCCCCACCCACCCACCAGCAGAACCACGTGGATCATGGGGGTGAGGTGCTCCAGCCAGTATGTCAGAAGTGGGACTTGAACCCCGTGCTGACCCCCCCCCCCGTCAGGGCTCTAAACACTCCACCACACTGGAGCTCGCCCTGGGGCCCACGCGCCCCAAATCCACAGAGTGCTGGATGCACTGGAGAGCAGATGCACCATGGAAAACAGCTTTTACAAGTCTGCTCTGTCCTAATGAGGTACATTAATCATTGTTTTTGGAATCTGAGGTTCAGCCTGGCCCAAGGCGGGGCTGGGATCTGAACCAATGGAGCTGCATTTTGGGCAACTAAGAATTCCAGGCTTCTCAAGCCAGGAGCAGGATGGGGCAGGGCTGGACAGGGCCTGGCAAGGCCAGGCAGAGCAGGGAGTGCCTTCCCCCACTGGAAGATGGGGACCTGTCTGTTCCTCCGACAGCAAAGCCCCTCCCTGCCCCCCCCAGCCTTTGGGCCTCTGGCCTCGATGCTGCTTCGTTTCCTTCTTGTCCTAATCCCAGTGGAATCAAGTTAGAAGTGACCATTGTGGAAAGGGTCAAAGCCTTTACCAAATCAAGGCTGGAAGGGTCTCCCAAGGACCTGAATTGAAATCGCAGGGAAGTGTCTCCAGCCCAGCCCACCCTGGGACTGACTGTTCTCTTTAGGAACCCATCCCCCTCACATGGTCTGAAAAGCTGTTTCTCAACAGTGCCTACCCATCCCTCCTAATTCTGCCCAGGACAGAGCCTGAACCTTCTCCCACCGCCTAGTCCTTCACCTCCTTGGAGGCAGACGCCATGCACCCTTGAAAACACTGTGAGCAACTTCAGGGGATCACCCTCAAGTACGCCTGAATAGTCACGGGAACACTGTCACAGCAGAGAGCTGGAAAGAAGGTGAGTGCCCACCGACCGGTGCCTGGCCAAACAGTCTGTGCTAGCCCGATATGATAGGCTGATGCCGTGCATCGAGAAAGAGAGCAGCAAAGAAGCGTCAAAGACTTCTACGAACTGATGCAAAGTCAAGTCAGCAGGGCCAAGAAATGACAACGACTTAGGTGGAAAGAATCGAGGGATTCTTTCCCCCCTCCAAAGGGAGGGAAGAGGGCACTGACAGGGGCAGACTTTTGCTCAACTTCCCCTCCTTTCTGATTCTTTGTTACATGGGACAGATAGTTCTATGGGAGTGATCCACCCAGACATGTAAGTGGCGGAAAAAAATCAAAAGACAGCAACAATTGCTTTAAAAGACAAACCAGGATTCAGGCAGAGCCCCCAACTCCAAACCCTGGGGCAAAGCAGCGAGGTCTCCTGGGTTCAGAGCCCAATTCCGTCTGTTACTTTGGGGGGGGAGGGGCCTTCCCAGCGCCTCAGTTTCCTCCAGTGTTCCAAGGTCCCTTCCGGCTCTATGCCCCTATGACTTGCTATGGCCTAAGCAGATCCTTAGAAGGTGGCTCGGGAGAGCCAGGCCAGGAAGGTGGGGCACTTCCGGGACACCCAAGTCCCAGGACCAAGGGAAGAGAAGTGAGCAGCTCCTCCCTCCCCAAATGAGATCACTGCTGACTGTGGGACAGAGGAATGAGAATACCTCCGCCTTCGTGAAGGACTACGGGCTCCCGGGCTCAGACCAGCCAACATCGTTTCAAATCCAGCCTCTTCAACAGCACGTGGCCTCGTGCAAAAAACCAGCCCGGCTACTCCTGGCCCTTACGGACAGGGAAGGGGCACCCTGGCAGGGGGCGGGGCTGCTTTAGGGAGGGCCCCCTCCCCCAAATGGTCATCGTATTCAGACTGCGCGTGTGCACTGGACTAGTACCAATGACAACATTCACAGAAGTGTGATTGGAACTCTGAACGCATCGAATCTGAATACACGTAACCACTTCATGGGATCCACTGTTTTCAGTGGCTGGGGTCCGGGCCATAATCCAGGCCTCTCACTGTGCAGAGGGGAAACTGAGGCCCAGAGCGGGAAACTGACCTGTGACACCACGGAATCCAGCCCCGTCGCTGTCCAGAGAGGAAAACTGAGGCCCAGGGAAGGGAAGCGACCTTAGAGACCAGGGAATCCACCCACCCACCACCGCACTGTCCAAAGGGGGACGCTGAGGCGCCCCCCGCCCCGCGGGTCCCACCTGCGTCCGAAAGACTGCGGCGGCCACCACGGCCCCGGCGAAGAAGGCGGCGGCGAGGAGCACGAGCTCGGAACGGTGCAGCCAGGGGAGCGCCATGGCCGCCCCGCCCCACCCCACCCCCCCGCGCCTTCGCGGGCCCAACCGCCTCGCACGCATATGACCTCACCACGCCGGCCACTGTGTCGGCTTCTAGTAAACCTTTATTCACGCACGCTCCGCCCCTCTGGCTCTAGAAAGGGGGGCGGTCCAGGAGGTTCCGCCCCCACCACCCCAGTTTACAGGTGGAGAAATTGAGGCCAGGCCCACCTGTCAGCGGCTCCGCCGAGGTTTCATCTGCCCGGAGCCTCGGACAGCGAGCGACATATCCAGTGCAAGAGCCCGAAGGGCGTGCGGCCCCACCACCGACGGACGCCCAGAACCTGGGAGGGGCGTCTGGCCCTGCCCCTTCACCGCACCGGGCGGGCCCCGGATCCGCTCCGCCTTGCGGCCGTAAGCACAGAAAGTAGTCCGAGAAGGAGCAGGCGCTTGCTCGTGCACGCCTGCTCTCCCCGGGCCGACCCGGGGTCATTAGTTCGTTTCCCCGCCCAGCCCCGCCCCCTCGCGGCGGAAGGTAGATTCCGCACCACAGTCCGTAAGGCAACGCCTCCGGGGGGCGGAGCCTGGAGCACACGCTCGCTCGTTCGCTGTTCTCCTCGCCCTGCCCCTACCCCGCCCCCTCACAGCGGGAGGTAGAGCGAGTAGTCCGAGAGGAGCCAGCGGCGCGCTGGCCGCGCGGTGCGGCCGATCATGGGCAGCTTCTGGGCGTAGCGCGAGGCTGGGCTGGGGCCCTGCGGCGGCGGGAAGGCCGTCTGGAAGAGGCGGCCGCGGCAGCGACGGCCCGCCTGCCGCCCCGCGATGATGAAGCGGAAGTGCGGGACGCCCCGGGGGGCGAAGCGGCTCTTCTGGAAGACGTCGCGGGTCCCCGCGCACAGGCCCTGCTGCCGGGGCGCCCCCCGGGGCCGGTGCACGCGGGGCAGGGGCCGACTCTCGGCGGCGGCGGCGGCGGCGGCGGGGTCGGGGCGGAGGCGTTGGCGGGGCCGCCCGGCGCAGTCCCGCGGGGGCTCTCCTCGTCCCGGGGGCTGACCGTGGCGCTGGCCGTCAGCTGGGGCATCTTGCGCACTGCGTCGGCCACGGCCGCCGGCTCCTTCTTGGCCCCGGGAGGCCGAGCGGCCGTGGGCGCGGGCTGCCCGGTGCCGAACCGGGTGGCCAGGCTGTCCCCGAAGAAGGCGTAAAGCTCCCGATAGGTGTCCCCGAGGGGCACGGGAGGGGCCGGGCTGCCCAGCCCGGGAGCCCCCGGAGCCAGGGGCGCCCCTGGCCCGAATCCCGGCTCCCCAGCCGGCGACTCGTGCAGGAGGAGGCCCGTCCAGGGCAGGTCCTCCGGGCGCCGGCAGCTCCGGCCGCGGCCCGGCTCCGCAGCCTGCGCCTTCATCTTGAGGAGCCGCTCCACGGCCACCTGTGGGGGGGGGCAGAAGGGAGGGTTAGGGTGCATCTCTTCAGCTAAGCCGAGCTAACCCCCTTCTCCCGACGCACTACCCCGGCCTGACGGTCCCTCACCAGGATGGCTCCGTACACTTTGTGACCATCTGCCTTCACCTGAGCGTTGGACACGGAGTAATCATCCAGCACAGCCTGCAGGTTGGCCCAGTAGGTGGAGAGGTGCGGGTACAGGACCCGCTCCACAGCCTGCTCGGAGGGAGCTGCAGTCAGTTCACTGGCCTCGGAGAGCCCTTCTTGTTCCCCAGCCTCTGCTGGCCCTCGCCCTGTTTATGAGGAGCCTACCGGCCCCTGGGGGTCCCAACCAGCCCAGAGATGGAGAACACAAGATGGGGCAAGGGCTCTGGAATGGCCCTCAGCTCTGCCCCCAGCCCACTGACGGGAGATGGGGGGGGGTGCAGTGCCTTTCCGGGACAGGGCAAGCCCTCAAGGGTAGCACCTGGGCCCTCTTGACCCTGCCCCACCGCAGACTCTGCCCGGGGAGATGCTGACTGCTGAGCCCCTGACCTCACCTTCCAGCCCAGGGCATGCAGCCCCACCACGGCCCCATAGTGGGAGCACAGAGGCCGCACAGGGTCAGCCAGCACTTTCTGCAGCGACAGCAGGATCTGCTGTGATAAGCCATTCACCAGGTCCCCATGAGTCCTATTGGAGTCAGGATGGCAGAGAAATTGTAATTAGCAGGAAAGCAGCTGCAGAAAGCTTGTTTCTCAAATGCTCTTAGGTGAGACACCCCCTCCCTGCCAGCCTTCCTCCTCCAGCTCCCACCAGCTCAGGGCCCCCTACCAAAAGATGTGGCTGAGCAGGAGGGCAGCTCCATCACGCAACGTCCAGTGGTCATTCAGGGGGTTGATGGAGGCAGCCAGCGGCTCCAGGACACAGTAAAGAACGCTGCCCACCAGGGAGCGGACGTAGGGCCCCAGGCACAGGTGAGGATTCCGAAGGAGGCTCCGTGCCACCTGCAGCAGCCGGTGCAGCTGCTCTAGGTCATGGCTCACTGACTTCACCTGGGACGACAGGAATGGGAACAGGAGGCTGTGACCACAGAAGAGCTCCTTGAGGCCCTGGCACCCATTCCCCTGGGGGTAGATGGAGGCAGCAGCAAGACAGACTCTGCCCTTCAGGATGGAGAAGCCAAGGACTTGGACATGCAATGGCATCATGGGACCACTAATCCAGAGGGGAAAGGAGACCTGGAACCCCAAGCCACTCCCTTTCCAGACAAGGAAACTGAGGCCCAAGTGAAGCGACGTGCTCAGGGGGACGGAGGCACTCAAGGCTCTGCCTCTTCCTCTCACCAGCAAATTGTGCATCCACACTTAAATGCTCGCCCCACCCCCACCCGAAGGTGCCCAGGTTCTCCAGCCTCCATGCCTGACACAGGCACTGACACCTAGCAAGCCTGCAGGGGCAGTGCCCGTCCCCAGTTCTGAGCAGCCCAGAGGTGGCGTGGAGCCTCCAACACCAGGCCAGGAGGTCCAAGCAGGCTGAAAAGGCCTCAACCATGAGCCCAGCATCGTTCAAGGACCAGCCTGGCTGAGGCCAGAGACAGCCCAGAAAGGGAAGGCTTTTCTGGAGGTGGCAACACTTGAAAGCCGACCCCCGGGTCACAGAGGAAGGGGAGCTGTGCTTCAGTGCAAAGCTGTCCCCACTAAGGAAGTCCTGGGAGGCGTGGGCTTGCACCCTGTCAGATGGACTCAAATAATGGCGGTCTCTGCCCTTGATCAAAGAGCTTACATTCTCTCCCCTCTTGGTTCCCCCGCCTCTTTCTCCTATCCTGCCTGTCCTCTCCTCCTAGATTCCACAGCTATAATCCCTCCTGCGCCCCCAACCTCCTGCAGTGAAAATCCCTACTGAACCCCATCCCATACACCCCACAGCCCATGCCCTTCTCTCTCTCACTCACCCCGCTGACGACATACACAAAGTAGGGCAGCAGAGCTGCAATCTTGGAATTTGTCTGCAGGTCCTGAAGTGCTACCTGGAAGAGCAGGAGATGGTGACTGTGAGCCCTACCTGGCCAAAGCCACTCTGATGGAGACATCAAAATGGAGACCTCAAAGCCCAGAGCTCCTGAAGGCCTGTAGAGTCCTGGGGAGGGGGCAGTGGGAGTCTCACTGTCCCCACTGGACTGAGAAGGAAGCTGAGGCCCAGAGGTCCCTCACCCAAGGCCCCCAAGCCAGGATGTCTAGTGCTAGGTCCCACTGCACACCCCTGGCTCACCCACTGGTCAGGCTGGGCCTCCCACAGCCCAGGCCGCCTACACAAGTTAAACATCCAAGCCTTGATCCCTTTCCAGAGGAAAGAGGGACCGTGTTAGGGGGCGGGGGAAGGAGGGAGGAGGACATTAAGAACTGAGAACACACAGTCTAAAGAGACCTCCTCTTGTCCCTGGGCTGAAAGGCCAGCGGCACCCTGCTCTGTCCAGGCCCCACTGGGGATGACTAAGGGAGCCCCCAGTGGACCACGAGCCCGGCTACAACACTTCCTAGTTGTGTTACTGTGGGCAAGGCTCAGTTTTCAAATCTGCTGAATAGGCATCCTAATACCTGTAATACCCAGGGTCCGTCTCAGGGAGTATAAATCGTGAAGGCCACAGAAATGGAGCAGGGGGCAGAAACAAGCTTGCCAATGGGGAACCAGCAAACAAACATGCCCCCCCTCCCCAGGCCTTTTCACCCTCACACTCCAGGCCGGTATCTTTGCTGCGCTGGCCTCGGTCTCCCCACTCCACGCCCTGGGACTCTTGAGACAGAGGCACGGGTAACATATAACAAATTAGATCCTGTTACGACAGCTCAGGCCAAGATGCAGAAAGCTACAGGCCCGGGGGCCGGATGAGGAGCTGGGCACCAAGGGAAGAAGGCTGGACGTGCTGGCGGGCCTGACCTGTAGGCAGGGACTCTCCCCTCTGGTGACAAGACTGGGGATCATCTCTGGGTGATAACGACCCTGAATTCTTGCCCACGCTCCTCACAGCTACAAGAAAAACAAAAGGAGTCTTGGGAATTAAGAGAGTAGCCCAAACAAAGTGGTGGAGACAGAGGCTGAACGGCTTGCAAACCATGACGCCCAGGCTTGGAAGGAAAGGCTGCTCAGTCTGGCTCCCTCAAGGAGTCGGACGTGGATCAGTTCCCATCCCAGAACAAGGGACAGCCTCAGACGGGATCAGAGAGAAACCCCGGGGGATGCAGCAGGACTGAGGGAGAGCACACCCATTGTCCGAGCCTGTCACATCAAGGCCCAGAAAACCAACCTTGGAAACCCCTTCTACAGAGCCAGGCTCGCTGCCATGCAGAGCCCAAGCTGGGCCCCTGGACACGGAGGAGGAGGAGGAGGAGGAGGAGGAGGAGTGCCTTAAAGGAAAGCCCGAGGGGTCTGGCAGCGCTGACCTTCATGAGCTGTGGGTCGTCCCCCAGCACAGCACGGGTCACCTGCTGGTAGTACTTGAGCAGGTCGTCGGTCAGTGAGGAGACAGCAGTGGGCACTGCAAGAGGACCGACAGGAACAAGGATGAGCCTGACAAGCAGAGGCCCCGCCGGGGGTCCTTGGCGGCCTGGCCATCGGCTGCCAGGAGAGGCAGAGCAGATCGGGCACAGGGAACACGCGCTGGCCGTGACAGCAGCCACGCTAGAGCGGGCTCTTCCCACACAACAGGACTCCGGCCTTCTGCCCAGCGACCCGGCCCCCAGGAACAGCGGCAAGGCAGGCCGCAGAAGCCCAAGGCGAGCACCGTCTGCAGAGGGCCGGGGGAGAAGTGCACTTAGGAGCCGTCCGAGGACGGATGCTACCCTAGGCCGAGCCTCCCTCAGGCTGCGAGAGGATGGCCTGCAATTCTGGAAGGTGACCTACTTACTAGATCAAAAAAGAAACTGCACTGCTCGGTGGAGGAAGGGTGGCCCTCACCTGCCAAGCTCGGGGCAAACCCGCCCTGCCCCACATCCCTCACAGGGCATGCTTGTCTTCTGCAAAGGAGAGGCCGGCTCAGACAGAACACCGGGGGTCAGGGCTGGAAGCAAAAGCTAATGCTGGCCAGCACCTAGGGAAGGCGGGAATGAACACGGGCACAGCTGAGGCTCTGCGTGAAAAAGCTTCACGTTACAGGAGAGAAAACTGCAGCCCTGGCTGCCCCTGACACCTGGAGCTTCCTCCTTTCTTTGACCAGGTGGGGGACTCCGGGTGCACGACCTGCCACACGCTACAAGCTGTGCTTTCTGGGGCAGGGAGTTCTGCTTTGTCCCACAGAGGCTCTTCCAAGCCCTCCTCGTGAAAAGACCAGAGCTCATTAAAACTGCAGGTCAAAGGCAGGAGTGAAGAGAAACAAACGAACACTGCTGAAGGGCCAGCTGCTGACGTCCCCTGGGAGCCCCATCACCATCCGGGACCAGAGACAGAGACAAGGCCTGGAACAGCTCTGTTGGGTCCCGTTGCTCTTCAGAAAAGAGAGGAGGAGGGGCACGGTGGAAGTTTGGGGTGAGGGAAATGACCTCACATCACGACAGAAACACACACATCCAAGGTGGGGGTGACAGCCAACACCTGAACTTCACTCTCACGTGAAACTGGTCAAAGGTGCACGCGCCCATGCGAGCACGCACGCACTGGGGAATGGCTCAACGAGCAATGATCTCTCGACATGAAAGAAGCCACTGTACGACCCGTGACCAGCACACTGGCCAGCCACAATCCCGGGGCCTGAGGAGCAAACGCTCCCCGCCTCCTGACAGAGCAGGAGGAGCTCAGGCGGCAGACTGGGGCAGATCTGGGGGCACGGCCCGTGCTCAAGTGGGCTCCAATCACTTCCATTCGTGTAGGATGGATTTTGTATTTCTTGTGCTCTCAGCTGGGAGAGAGGGTGGGGTGGAAGAATGAGAAGGTGGACTTTGGCTGATTAAGACAAAGAAATATTTAAAAATTTTCAAGAACAGAAAGTGTTCTCTCCATTTACCTGATCCTTGGGGTTCCACATTTCCTTTCCCATCCAGATAGGATACATGAACTAGAGAAAGACGAGAGAAGGCAGGTAACCCCACACTCTGTGGTCCTGACCCACTGTTCTCGGATGGGGAAACCCCAACCCCCCAGGCCACCTCCTCCCTCTGGGTCAGCTCCCAGGCTCCCACCTCTCACAGCTGTCTCAGGGCACCCCTTTGGAATGTTGGTCGCCAGTGCCAGCTCCACGAGGTTCACCTCCCGATCCTCAGGGAAATAGAGGTCGCCCTCCCTGGCAGGACGCAGGGGCAGGGCCTCCTGGGAGCCATAGCCACACACTGCCTAGGAGTAGGAGGGCAAGGTTAGATGTTCTGGAAACCTTAAAGTGTCATCCAGAGAGAAGATTCTGGGAGGGGAACAGTTCTTGAACAGAGGGAGCAGGACAGGAAGACCCAGGGAAGCCAGAGTCCTAGGAACAGAAGCTCAGCACTCTGGGACAACCTCTGGGCTCGTGGACGGAGTGTCATGGGGCATCTGGGGACGGCAGACAGGGCTGCACCATCTCCACTTCAGAGGATTCTTCACCTGTCCTTCAGCCCAAAGCTTCCTCTACCACATTAGGTGTTTAATGAGCACCTACTGTATACAAAGCTAATGTTCACAGCCATCTGCCCACGTGGAAGGGCCTCCCTCCCCAATCTCTACCCATCCTTCACGGCCCAGCTGAACTCCTAGCTTTTCCACAAAGCCTTCCAGGGCCACGCTCTTAACTGTGAGTCCATAATTATAAAAGTCATCATTCCTGTCTCTTTGTCACATTAAAGTTCCACAAAACTTGGAGTGAGGTCATTGTACCAGGGTTATTTCTAAGCCCTTTTGACAGATGAGGGATCTCGAGCCTCCTGACCGTAGACTGGGCACGTGGCCCAGCCCCTTCTCCGCTTCTGCCAGCCTCACCTCCACATTGCTCCACCTCAGGGCCCGGTTGAAATCCTCCACCGTCAGCTTCCGCCGTTTGGTGTGCTTCATGAACTGGGAGCTGTTCTGAGGTCAGTCAGAAGAAAGGAGGCGTCAGAAAGGGCAGCAGGGCAGCCGGGGGCCTCCCCGCCTTCCCCTGCCAGAAGTACCTGGGTGGCCTCCCTAAGCCGATAGCAGACGTCCTCAGCCAGAAGCGCAGCCACCTCGTCACTCAGCTCTAGCCCGGCACTTTCAGCCATGAGCCGGACTGACTCCCTAGGGATCTCCACAAAGCGCCGCTCCTCTCGCTCTGACATGGTCCCAGGATGCTGGGGCAGCCACTAGGACCTTCCTAGTCCTCTGGACAGCTCCTCTGCCTCCAGTATGGAATGACACAACAGCAGGGCTGGGAGGGGCTCTAGAACAAGGGGTAAAGCACATGGGTCCCACTCAAGAACACAGAATGTGGAATCAGAGCTGGGAGGGTCTTGGGAGGTCATCTGCTCCAACCCCTCCATTCCAGAGGTGATGAAAATGACAAAGGTCACCCAGGGGCTTAAGAGTAGAACCAGATTTAGAAGCTGGGTCTAACTGCTGGTTCGATGACCTTTTCTCTGCAAGAAAACAGCTAACTTGGCACTTTTACATGGCACTTTAAAGTTTGACACCCCCCCACAGCAATCCTGTGATGGAGAAGGGAGAACAAATATGCATTAAGTGCCTACTATGTGCTAGGCTTTACCACTATTTACTAAATCTGCAATGTGCTATGTGTTTTACCAATCTCACCTCACTTGACCCTCACAGCAGTCCATAGAAGTAGGTGTGATACTGTCCCCATTCGACGGCTGAGGAAACTAAGAGTGATTTGCCCGGGGTTACACAAATAGTAAGCGTCTGAGGCTGGATTTGAACACAGTGCTTCCTGACTCCAAGAACAGTAAGCCCCGGAGCCATCCACACACCCCTTTCCCATCGGATTAAACCGTAGTACAGTGAAAAGAGCCCAGGCCAAGGTTCAAATCACACCTTGGCTACTCCTCACTTGTGAAACTCTATGCTGTGACTTAATTTTACTCCTGGGGAATTTGCAAAGAGGTGAGGTCCACAAGGGCAGCCAGGTGGCCCAGTGCATAGAGCACTGGGCCTGGAGTCGGGAAGACCTGAGTTCAAATCCAGCTTCAGACACTTCCTAGCTGTGTGACCCTGAGCAACTCACTTCACCCTGTTTGCCTCAGTTCTCATCTGTGAGATGAGCAGGAGAAAGAAACGGCAGACCCCTCCAATATCTCTGCCGAGAAAACCCCCAATAGGGTCACAAGGAGTTGGACATAACAGCTGAGTAGGACCAAGGTCCACAAGGGTCCTGAGTTGTTGTTGTTGTTTTCAGTTTATTTTTTTGTTTTAAGGAGCAGACTTATTCAATCTTGATCATTACGCTTATTTTTCTTCTTCTCTTTAAAAATACTACGTTATATGGGATGATTCTGTGAAGGGGAGGGGGAAAGACTGCGGGAAACTACAGTGACATAAAAAAAGACACCAATAAAAAACGAGTAAAATAAAGCCAGCGTAGGGAGTCTGCCTCACTCCTGTGCCCTCCCCGTGTGACATTCTCTGCTGCTTCCAGGCCAACTGACTGTAGGCTTTCAACAAGCCCACTGGAGAGGATGCCAGGACCTTACCGTTCAGCTTTCTATAAAGGGGGAGACTGAGAGAGGTCAGAGAAGGATGACCCGCCCCAGTGCCCACCACAGCTTAGCCTCCCTTCTCATCGCTCCCCAGCCAGTATAACCATTGCTGGGGTCATCAATAGCTCAATTCCGGACCCACTGATGATGTGTCTCAGAGGGACAAGCCGGTGGGGGGGGGGCCTGCTGAGGACATGGACACCAAAATCATCACTGCCTTCACAAGGCTTGTGTGCCACCGGGGCTACCGTCTGGAATCACCGACTTCCCTGGGAGGCTCTGAATCCCTCCTGCTAAGGCAGCTGCTGTTATCATGTCCACACCCACGGGCTGCTCCCCAGACCAGGCCCACAGAGCTGTGACGCTCAGCCCCGGGCCCACCCTGGCACCATGTTTCTCTCCCATCGTCATTGGGAGAGCACCCCACGCTCATACCCCATCCCCACCCCCCACTCCCCATCCCCTTCCCCCTCACACTCCCCATCCCTTCAAGGGCCCAGCCTAAAGCCCCACCCCAGGTATGACATCAATTCCTCCAGGGCAGGGAACATCTCCCTTTTCTATCTGTATCCCCAGCTTGGCACGCTGGATGCCTAGCACAGACCAAGACCTAATAACTGCTCATTCATTCATTCATATGTAGCTCAGGTGTGGATGGGGTCAGCCTCCGAGGTCCCTCATTGCTGGCGTCCCAACAGCAAGGACTCCGGCTGACACTTATTTTTACCCTCAGAGAGAGCGCTGGTCCCCAGGAATTCAATTTAACAAAGACTATTTGTTGGCTGAACTGACCTGTTTTAATACAAGCAGCAGCCAGCACAAGGGGAGGAGCCCTGACTGAAGAAGTCTGAGAGGCCTGGGTGTGAATCCCGCCTCCGCCATTTCATCCTTGTTTCTGCACGGGTGAATCGTTCAGTCTATCAGTCTGGTAAGTATGTGACCTCTCTGAGCCTGTCACCTGTCAGCTGGGGATCATGATATCTGGAGAAACTCCGACAAGTCTCCAAGTCAGGATGGAAGGGACAGCAGGAAGCTAGCAGCGGGGTAACCACCACTGGGGCCCCATCTTAACTGTAACGCTGCGGTTCTAGTGGACTTCTACTGATTTCCTAAAATATTTCCCCCATTACATTTTAATCTGGTTCACGACCCTGAGGCCTGCTAGACACCTCCCACGTACAGCATTTGCAAACCTTGAGATGCTACCTAAGCGTGGCTATCATGAGGATGTCCTCTGAGAAGAAAGCCTGGAAGCCTTGGCTTCGAAGCCCACCTCTGACAAATCCAGGCAGGGGATACTCGGGGCACTCTCTAAAAACAGCACAGAAGAGCCTGGCCCTGGGCCGAGCCTTATTCCAGGATATCTCATGCACGCTCCCAGAAGCCTGTGGCAGGCGCGAGTGGTCAGAGAGCAGGCCTGGGGGCCAGGTGCACCCGGCTTCAAAGGTGCCTCACCTTCCCTTCCTCCTCCTCACCACAGTCTGTCATCCCTCCAGCAAAGCTGCTCCCTCCAAGGGGAGATCTCACGCCAAAGAGACCTCGTTCTTCTTGACTTCACTGTGGCTGTGGCCCAGATCGCCCCTCCTCCACTCCTCCTGGGCACGCTCTTCTGTCACCTCCCCCCCCATCTCCTCCTTCCTCTCTGACCTCTGTCTCTTTTGCTGGATCCTCTCCAGGCCTCGGTACAATCTCCCAACTCTGACATCTCAGACTGGAGTCCAGTAGACATCTTAAACTCAGTATGCACAAAATGGAAATCACCACCTCCGCCCAAAGCCTCCCTCCCACAATCCAGGAGTCATCCTGGATCTCACTCTCTCTCACCCGCAATGTCCAACATGTCACCTCTGCAGCATCTCTCAAATGCACTCCCTTCTCTCCCCTGACACTGCCCCCACCCTGGTGCAGACCCTCATCACCTCACGCTGGGCTGCAATAGCTGCTGGGGCAGGGGCCTACCTGGCCCAAGTCTCTGCCCACTCCAGCCCATCCTCCTTCAGTCACCATAGGGATTTTCCTAAGACCCAGGTCTGACCATGTCACCCCCTACTCACTAAACGTGGGGAGTGCCCCATGATGCTGTTTGGCCTTCAAAGCCCGTCCTAACCTGCCCCCTCCTCCCCTTCCTGGCTTATACACCTAACGTCCCCCACATTCTCCTCGATCCAGGGACCCCAGCCTCGGTTCTATCTCTCAGCCCCAGGCATTTTCTCTGGCTGCCCCCATACCTCGAAGGCTCCCCCTCATCTGCCTTGACCACTGACCTCCTTTCTTTTGCTTAGTCGTGTCTGACCCTTTGTGACCCCATTTGGGGTCTTCTTGGCAAAGATTCTGGAGTGGTTTGCCGTATTCTTCTACAACTCATTTTACAGATGAGGCAACTGAGGCAGAAAGGGTGAAGTGACTTGCCCAGGGTCATACAGCTAGTACGTGTCTGAGGCCGCATTTGAACTCAGACCTTCCTGACTCCAGGCGCTATCCACTGTGCCACTTAGGTGACCACTGTCCTCCCCGGCTTCCTTTACACTGAGGGCAGGGCCTGTCTCTTGCCTCTTTCTACGTCCCCAGTGCTTAGCACAGCCTGACTGCCCTGGAGAGCCAGGGTAAAAGGCTTAATTTCTCAGGCTCCCAATGAGATGCAGACCTGCACCAGTGGAGGGCCTGCTTTCGGGCATTAGTGACAATCTTCCCAGGAAAAGAAGCAGAGACAAACCTTCCCTGGACAAGCTATCCCTGGGACCCCCCAAAGGCTCCAGGCACGGGCTGCCCCTCCCCCAGGCTGATGGGAGGGGCGCTGGAAGGGTCATGACCCCCAGGATGCAGGGGTAAAGGGGGCCGGTAGAATGTCCCCTCGGCCTCGGGAAGGGCCGCCCACCTGCCCACGCCCACACGAAGCCCTGCTAGGGCCAACACGGGAACAAATAACTTAAGGAGAAACACAAGGAGAGGGGACGCCCACGCGTGGCCCCACGATCTTTTCCGTCTGGTCCCGAGTGGGATCTGAACCAAGGCTGGGACCTCCCTTCCACCATCCTTGTTCTCCAGGCCAAACTCCTAGTCAGCCTGGGGTCCACTGAGACAACCAGATCATTGTCAGAAGGCTTCAGGCCAGTGGAGGGAAGGCCTGGGTTCGAATCTATCCATTACTGCCAGCGGTGGACCCCAGGCTTCTTGAAGCCTCTTCCAGTGATTCCCATTTCACAGGCGAGGAAACTGAGGCAGGCACGGATGAAGTGATCCGCCAGGGTCACCAAGCTGCTCTTCCTGCGTGGCGCCCCCTAGCGGCCATGGATAAGTCCCTTCAACCGCCTGGGCCTCAGTTTCCCCATCTGTAAAGTAAGAGGCGGGGAGAAGATGACCTCTGATGTCCTGCCCCACTCTCAAGCTGAGCCTATGAAAAGCGTCGGCGTCCGACCCGTAACCTCTGACCCCAGAGTCAGGAGGCGGGGCCAGACGAGGTCAGGACTCCCACGGCCTGTGGTCCCCGGCGGAGGTGAGGGTGAGGGGGTGAGACCCCCAGCCAGACGAAGTTCGGAGGTCCCGCGCTGAGCGCGGCGCGGCCCTAGGCGAGACTTACCCGAGGGCGGTGGCAGCTCCAGCTCCGGCTCCGGCTCCGGCTCCGGCTCCGGCTCCGGCTCCGGCTCCAGCTCCAGCTCCCTTACCTAGTCTCAAATCCCTCGCACTGAGGCTGGCCCCGCCCTCCCCCACTGCCGGCCAATCCGCGGGCGGCTCTTCGAAGCCCCGCCTCCGCACGTGTGTCACGTGGAGCGGACTGTCTTCGGGAGGAGCCATGTTGCCGGGAAGTATCACGTGATGCCAGCCCCTTAAAGGGCCCTTGACAGCTTTCTTCCTTCCTGCCTCTTCCCTTTCTTGGAGATCCATAGTGGGCTCCCCAGAGGGGCCAAATCCTCCAAGGGATTTGTTTGTCTCGCTGGGGTTAAGCCAGATCCGCCCCCACCCTCAATTCAGCCCGCATGTGTGATCATTTCTTAGAATGCTGTTTTTACCCTTTATCTCTGCAGCCCTTTCCCCACCCAGGGACCTCGCCCTTCCAATTCAGTTCAATGCAATTCGGTGCCCAGTTATTAAGTTACTACTGTGTGCCAGGCAAGGTGCTAAGCGTGGGGGATACACAGCCCAGCGGGGGAGGCAGCGTGCAAACAAACGTGTAGAGATCCAGCTGTAGAAGGGATCTAACAGAGGGAGAGCACAGGGGAAGGCTTCCTGGAGGAGGTGGGACGTTAGCTGGCAGGTCAGAGCAGCTCCAGGCCGGGGGGATGGACGGAGCCCAGAGAAGGAGGTTCTTGTACACCCGGGGGGGAGGGGCGCGGGGGCGGGGTCACTGCATCCAAGAGCATGGGGGGAGTCAGGTGTACGCAGACTGGAAAGGGAGAAGGGGGCAGGGTAGGAGGGGCTTAAGGCCAAACAGCATTTTGTATTTGATCCTGGAGGCCATGGGGAGCCACTGGGGTTTATTGGGGAGGGGGTGACGTGGTCAGAACTGCACTTTAGGAAAATCCCTTTGGTGGGTGAATGGAGCACAGGCTGGAGTAGGGGGAGACTTGAGAAAGGCAGACGCCACCCCACCCCGCCCCCTCAACGGCTATTGGGGTAGTCTAGGTGTGAGGGGATGAGGGGCTGTATCAGGGTGGGGGCAGGGTCAGAGGAGAGGAGGGGGCCTAGTCCAAAGATTCTTCAGAGGTGAAATCTACAAGAGATGTTGCAGAGGTGAAATTGACCGGCCTTGGCTATAGTTTGAATCTGAAGTGTCTGGGTGAGGAAGAGAGTGAGGGGTCCAGGATGACCCCTAAGTTGTGAACCTTAGGGGCTGGGAGGAGGGTGTTGTTCTTTACAGTAATGGAGAAGGGAGAAGGAGAGGAGAGTTTAGGGAGAAAGATGATGAGTTCGGTTTTGGACTTGTTGAGTTCAGAGTGTGTACTGGACGTGCAGATTGAACTGGAATCTAACCTCAGTTCCTACCCTTAACATTTATTTAAAGTCTTTCATCCTGCTTCATTAAATGAACTTGAACTTGAACTGCATATAAGGAGGGTGGGGAGGACTTGCCAGTGAGATCATCTGCCTCCCCTTCCCCCATGCCCTTTACCCCTTGCCCACACCCCCTTACAGTTCTCCTCTGCCTAGAATGGGTATCAAGATCATATTGCCTCAAAAAAGGACTTGGGTAAGGACTTTTTTCTCCATTTTGTAAAACAACATAAATCCATCTGACCTCATGGTTTTTTCCTTTGGCAATTCATTATGGCTTATTCAGTTTCTCTCTGAGATTGTATCATTTCAGAGCTTCATTTCTTTTGTTACTCGTTCTGGTATTTTATATTTTTGTAGAGACTCTTCGAGCTCCCTAGAAGTTTTTGTTTTGCTGGTATAAAATTGTATGTAGTGGCTTCTGAAAAATCTCTTTCATAGCCTTTGAAAGAGCATTTTCAGTGAAGCGGGTGGGGTGTGAATCCAGACTACTAGAGGCTGAGGACTTTTTCTAGAAGTTTAGCTGTAATTGGAAGAAGAGAGATAGGACAATGCCTTGGGGAATGGCTCCAACCAGTGAAGATATTTTAAGGATGTAAGCATGGCTGTAGGCAGCAGGGAAGGAGAGATTGAATAAAAAGGAATGATTGGAAAACCAGGCCCTAGTGATGATAGGCAAGGGATGGCATCCTCAGACATTATCACAAAGGAGGAGAGAGTGAGGACAAACATAGGGGGCCTTTAAGGTGTGGAATAAGGAAAGTTCTTAGCAATTGGTTTCTAGTTTCTCAGTCAAGCAAGAAGCAAAGGAGCTTGCCTTGAGGGGGAAGGGACAGAAGGTTCTATTATTGTTGATTTGAGAAGAGAAAGTTTGGACCAGTTACTATGGTGAGTGTGATAAGAGTTCATCAGAGAAGAATTAAAAATCTGTCCAGCTGAGGTGGTTACCTGAGTCATACAAGAGGAACAGCTGGAGGAGAGTTGGGCAAGCCAAGGGCTAAGTTTAGGAAGGAATGAGTATCACCAGGACCAAGGGGAAGGGGTTCATGGGCAGAAGGTAGTATTGTGGAAACAACATATTAGAGTCTCAGATTTGCAAATTAAAACAAAGTCTGGTGGCTTACCCAGAAGTTTACTATACCTTTAACTTTAGAAAGTTGGTGATCAAAATAGCCAGTGTGCAGACTCTTGTTGGCATTGTAGGGTATCCAAACCCCAACTTCTCATAGACACGATGTAGGACAGAATTGGTCTATTCTCATAAAAATGACTCACTGGAATCATTGTGATTTGAAATCTCTCATCCTGGGAATCCTTGAAGCTCCTTGATGATAGAACAGGCATTCTAGAGGGCACCATGGGTAGACTTCGTGGAGCGGTCACACTCCAACATCACTAAATATCATTGGTTTTTCTCTTTCTACTTGATAAACACCCTGTTCCCAAGTTGTAACTTTGATGTAAAACTCTACAAGCCAAAGGCATTTTTAGAACTTTGATGAGCACTTTGCAAGAATATAGAAGACCCAGGTTCCTACTGTCAAACTTGGGCTCTTGGTTGATAGAGAAAGGTCTATGTTGGGTGACTGTTCTTCAAAGAGTCAGCCAGTAAGCATTTTTTTTTTAGTTGAGTTAAGCTTTTTATTTAATGTTACAAAAAAAAAATTTAGTCAAACAGGCCAAAGCCTGTGTCATCGTCAGACTCCTCGGATTCTTCTTTTTTTGCTTCCTCTTTCTTCTCCTCAGCTGGGGCAGTTGTGCTAGCAGGAGCTGCCCCTCCAGCAGGGGCAGCACCACCAGCTGCTGGGGCAGGTCCACCAACTCCTACACTGCAGGTGAGATTTGCAATGTTGACATTGGATAGGGCCTTGGCAAATAATCCAGGCCAGAATGGTTCAGCATTTACACCTGCTGCTTTAATGAGGGCATTGATTTTATCCTTCATGACTGTAACCTCATTGTTGTAAAGGATGAGGGCAGAGTAGATGCAAGTGAGCTCCGAGACGGCCATTTCAGCAGAAGGATGAGGAGAGACTTGTTTGTAGTGATGAAGTGAGGGTTCACCCCAACGAGGCCTTAGCTTCCGAAGAAGAACCAAGCACCTTACAGACAACTGAAGAGCCAGTACGCATTTATTAAGTGCCTACTGTGTGCCCACGCACTTTTCTAAGTACTGGAGATACGAAGAAAGGCAAAGACAGTCCCCATCCTCAGAGAGCTTAAAAACTAATGGGAGAGCCAACATGGAAACAAATATGAACAAACTTTATACGAGATGAATAGGAAACACCTAACAGAGGAAAAGCTAGGATTCTGAGGGACTAGAAATGGAGTGTCTTGATGAGGAATGCCTGGGAGGTCAGTGTCACTGGATGGAAGAGTACTATAAGGTACAAGAAGACTGAGAAGGTTTTGGGGGCAAGGGACCTAGGTTTGAAAGATCAGTTGGAATACTACAACGTATACCGTTAATATCTTTTGTTTTTAGATCGCCTACATTTCCCACTCTGTTCCTCTCCCCACCTTGCCCAAAGAAGCATCTGTTGACAAGTATCCTTTTTAAAAATTTGACTCTGAATTTGGACCCTAATAAAGTATATTTTCATACAACAGAATACAAGAAGAGGCTTCTATGTGAAACCGCCAATCTCTCTTTCATGATGCTGGCTATGGAAAAAGCATATAGTCCATTCTACACATTCATTTCCAAACTGACCTGTTGACGTGTGTTCCCTTCTGAACATCCTTTAGTTTTGTCCACTTTTAAAACATTACGTTTTCCCTCCTTTTAGCATCACCATAGCTGAATCCCCTTCCTCCCACTCTGCCCCCGAGTTAAGAGCCCAGAGAAAGGGAAGAAAAACCCTTTTTAACAAAGAAGCATCATCAAGTCAAACATCCTCCCTCAATGTACACCTTCTGCTCCTCATGCCCCTCCCCCTCTGAGAGGAGAGGGCAAGCTGCTTATCACAGGGACTCCGGAGTCTTCAGGGGTCAGGCGGTGGTGTCATTGTAGAAATTGTTCTGCTTCTGGCAGTCCCAACAACCCAGGATTTTCTGTCATTTCTTCCAACCCACTAGATTCCATTCCATTCCCGTGCCTCAATTGGTCCAGCTAACCGTGTGCTGTCTCAGAGGAGGTCTAAGGCACCCCTTGGGGGCCAGTTTGTTTCTTTTCTTCTTTTTTCAGTCCCATCTTCAGGATCAGGACATTTCTTTTTTTTGCCTGTGACTTCCTCTTCCCAGTATCCCATCTCGTCTCTAATGCCTCCCAGTTGTTTCTTAGACGAGTTTGGTGTATGTACCAAACTCTTACCAATGAGAGGTTCACCTGATTTCTGCTCACTCCAGTCCTGTTAATCTGCCTTCTCACTCCCCCCAATGTAGCAAGATTCTTCTACTTGAGTGAATTCCTCCTTTGACCCTCCCTCTTCTTCCCCTCTTCAGACCCTTACAACAAATCCATTCCAGTCCCAAGATTTCTGTTTTTCTCACTGAACTCCCTTAAGGCCCTTTGAAAGATGTTAAGGTTCTACCGAGGCCAACAGCCCCAAAGAGATCTAAGGAGGAGGAAAAGAACCCACGTAAACAAACACACGTATAGCAGTGCTGTCTGTGGTGGCAAAGAATTGGAAGCCAAGGGGATGCTGTCCGTCGGGGTGTGGCTGAACGAAAATACGGCAGACGGTTGTGCTGTGA